TGAATGTACCAGGGTTGTGGACTTGGAAAGTACTAGATTTCTATCTCCTGTTACAGTATTTGCTCCTGATTTTCACTAACTGGTGGGACTTTCTTTGCAAGCTGATCTGTTTCTTTCTCAGTCTAGAAAAGACTTTTCTTTTTTTTGGTGCCTGCTTGCTCAAAAATACTTCTTATGTCTTCATAAGTGTCAGAGTTCTGGGCTAATGTTTGGATACTGTACTTGGGTTGTCGGTAGTGGGAAATTATTTAACAAAATGGTAAGACAACTGCAGGATGATACACTGATTTCTGTGACAAGCTACAGTTTGTTTTTTGTTTGTTTTGGTTTTTTTTCCTAATGCATTTAGAGTGAACAAACCTGTATTAAAAGTGTGTATTCCAATAAGTGTTTGTTTAGAAATTCATTTAAGTACATTTAGATAAGTTGCAGTAGTTGAACAAAGATAGGCCAAGTTGGAATACGTTAAGTTTGTTTCTTTATTCCTTTTTTTTTTTTTTCCTTCTGTTGGAAGTAGGAGGAGGAGTAGCAGCAACATTATAAGGTGTTGTGGTTTTGTCTCTTACTACATGGCCAAGAATATTATTTGTACTTTAAACTACACTGTTCCTCTTAAATGAAACATCAGTAGGTATATGGACTTTCTATTTAGTAGTAGCTGTAACTCTGAAGTTTTAGAAAAAGGAAGTGCTCTCTGTGTAAGCTAAAAGGTTTTCACACAAATTACTTGCACTAGAACATTGTATTTTATTTAAAGATTAGAAGATAGCACAAAAGCATGCTGCAGCTTCAGTTTGTTCACTATACTGAAATGCTTTTGTTCTTTTTCAGTATTTAAATGTTCGTGGTAACTCCTCCCATCCTGTCTACTTTGTGTTTAGATTGGTGTAAGACAAAAATCTTGGAAATTACTCAGAGCAGACAGCTAGAAAATTTGTCTTCCAGAACAAATATGTAATATGTGCTCTATGAGCTCTTCAGTGTGGAGGATTATGCGAACACAAGGTTAGAAAAAGCAGAAGTGTTCTAGCTGCTGAGGTGAGCAAGGTGGCTTATGGAAGGGGTCTTGCCGGGTAGATCATCACTTGTCATGGATCTGTGTCTCTGTTTAGCCTGTACCTGGGGCTAAACTATAACAGTCACTTCATCACCCAACCACTCCTCACCAGCCAGGAAGGGGAATCAGAAAAGGAGAGCAGACCCATGGATGGAAGTCAGAACAGATTTAGTGAAACAACACTGATACCAACAAAAGTATACGAAGTTAGTCAAATTAATATCCAGCCATCACAATTGACAGGAGAGCAGTCCTCAGGAGCAGGGAAAAGCCAGAGGAGGAGCAGAAGGAACCCCACAGGAGCTTCCTCCTCAGCAAACCTTCTGCCTTTGTAACGCCCGTGACATTATGGTGTGGGCTACACCTGTAGCTCGCTCAGGTCAGCTGCCCTGGCGGAGTCAAAACTGCTAACGGCCTGCCTGGCATGGCTGGGGTGGGATTCTATCCCAGCCAAACCAGGACAATCTGCAGTATTTGCTTAGGACTGTAAAGATGTGTTATTCATCAGCCATTTTTGATCTCCTATTTGCTTACCATGAGTTTAACATCAGCCTTGATGCCAAACATATCAACTGTGGTTTTCAATTTTTTTTTAATGAATAAAATGAATATTTTTCTTTTCAAACTGGAAATACTCAAAGTGCTTATTCTGTTTTCTAAGAACACCTGGGCATCACAGCTCTACAGGTTTGCTTTCTAAAGAAAATTATTTTCGGACTCTCACTGTGGTCCCTGCATTGCAGGTTGCATAAGGCACCTCATGCTCTAGTTATGCCCTTTTGTGTTAGTGGTTATTTTTTTGGTTTTAGCTGCAGCTGAGTATCTTCTACTCTTTCTTTCTTTTCAGGTAAGGTGGGCACATCCTCCAATGTTCATATTTCAAAAGTATTCATTGAAATACAGAAATATTGCTAAATTCTGTTTTAAGACAGAGAATCAAAACAACAGGGACAATAGACATAAAGTCACGTAGCCTCCTGGAGCGGACACCTTCAGCCTCTGAAGCTGCAGGCTGTAATGCCACAGATAGTCTCTTAAGAACTTTTTTTGCTGAATTTATTTTCCCATTGCTAAGTTTTCTCATCAGCATGAACAGCAGCACTGGAGAAGGGAGGCAATGATGATATACAGCCAATAGAAGGGTGAGTCAGGCAGACATCTTCAGTATCTTGCACACTTGCCAATTTATGGTGACGATAGGACAGTGCACTTAGGAGTCATCCTGACAAGTCAATCATCTCTTCTCTGTGCTGGTAGTGTGAGTGGACGCAAAATGTTGACTATACCAATAATTTCTGGAAGCTGAGCAGTGCTGTAACCCCACTCAGTTGTATCCTGGTTCTTCTATTCTTATCAAAAGATCCTGGAATCTTTTGGCTCTGATATTAATACTGTTATTTAAAGCTGTTGCATTAATGTGTAGTTTTCTCTAAGTGTTGTCTTCTAAGTGCTCTTCAAGTGCAGAATCTCCTTTTCCAGCAGACTTTTCTTGTCTTGCATCTGGCAGATAGATACTTGATGTTATTTCCTAATTCAAAAAGCGTTCTGACTCCATTTAGTTTATTTCCTTTCTGTCTAACAGCATCATTAATTGTACTCTGGGGATTGTCTCTCAGCTGTGGCTGTGATCAGAGGAAAGGGAGAACCACAGCAGTCAGTCTTTGGGTGCTGTAGGAAAAGGATTGAGGTGTTTGGTTTCTTTTCTTGGTGGGTTGATTGAGCATAGGAAATTGTCACAATTCGTGTTGATTGCAAATAGCAATTTCACTTGTTCTAGATATGCCAAAGCTGTCCCAAGGAGCTTTCACTGCATCATAATGTAAGGGAGAAGAAGCTGCAGTACCACTCACTGACATTCTGCTTTGGGAAGAGTTTGTGATAGCAGCTAATCCTGAGATTTTGTAACTCAGCTTGAAGAAAAATTAAGCACCATCTCTGAATTCTAAATATTGAATGCTTAAAGATTGTTTTCTATTTAGGTTCTGATTAGTATTTCCAGTTGCCCACAAAGGTGAGAGTTACCAAAATGTCTGCTATGGCAAAAAGTTAAAAAACTGAAGCACTGTTACTAATACTGGTACTGCAAAATTTTAATGTACTTTCATCTAGCAATGTAATACTGCAAAATGCTTTAAGGATACTTGAGTCTTCTTCCTAGCTGAGAGAGTGATTGATTTTACACAGTTTGCCTTTTTAATAATCACCGTTGGATGACAGGTTTCTTTTTTTTTTTTTTTTTTTTTTTTTTTTATTGTCGGTCCTGAGTTAACTTAATTGGAATATTTGTGGTATGTGTATGCATATAGTGTTCATATAGTCTTCTCTTGAGTTTTGATGGTTTAAGATCTTGGAGTATACACATAAGACAAAGATGTGATGTAGGTACATGTATTTATAAGGCTTGATGTGAAAAGAATCTTAGTGGTATTTGCATGCAAGGAATTTTTAGGAGTGGGTGCATTTCTGGTGAGATGAAGGGAAAAAGCAGGTAAACATTGAAGTCTGGTATTTGTTCAACAGACAGCTGTCATTTCCTAAACTAGAAGTAATTTAATCATGTTTGTTTCTGGAGTAGTTAAATGAGATCATTTGCCATAATTACTTCATGTCTAACAAGGTCTGCTGCCATTCGGATTTTATGTTATGATTTGAGTCCTGAAAAGAAAGGAACTTAACCACTGGATGTTGAAAATAATCAATATATTTCATTATTAAGATTTGAACAGAGACTGTTTCAAATGTGTCTTTAAAAATCTCCTGTTAAGCTGAACCTTTGCTTGTGATCCTGTTGCTACAGTCTGTTACATGTATATGACATAAAGGAACAGCTTTGGCCATCCCAAATGACTGCATTGGTTGTGTGTTGCTGTTGGGACAGAACCATTTAAATATCTCAATAATTATTTTTGTTGTTCCATTTTACTGAGCTGGAAGAAAAAGCTGTTGTATAATTAAGGAGCTATGTCCAAGAAAGTGGGTAGCATTAAGAGTGTTATTATCGGATCATTGCAAAGGAAGTGAATATTTGTAGTTGATGCCTAGTGCTGCACAAGTGAGAGTAATCTCTGTCCAAAGAAGTTTCTTGCTAGAGAAAATCTAATAGTTCAAGAAAAGCAGAGGTTTTGTGTGAATAACTTTTCATGTTTGCTGAGTGTTAGGCAGAGACTACAGGGTAAGGGGCTGCTGCTATACTGAGTGACAGCTGTAGCTGTGTGCAGAAACACGCTTGCATATTCAGTAGCGAGTAGTTTTTATCAACAGGGTAACGTATTTGTTTTAGGATAGCCAAGGAGAGACCTAAAATTGACTTAAATACTTCAGACTCACTTACATGGTGTTATGCAAAAACATAAGTTTGTGATACACTGTATTAAAGAATTGCTTTTGACTGTCCAGTTATTTGTGTGTCCTGCTGATGGAAAGTATTTGTTATGGATGTTAATAGTATTGTATTTACCTATGTCTCTGCTCTACAAAACAACCAGATGAAGGGGTACTGCTAAAATTCTGATGTCTGAAATCAGCACCAGGATACGCATCTTGATAATGAGTTGGATATAGCTTTGGCTTTTCTTTGGCTTTTTTCCCTGAAAGATGGTAATGTCTTCTGAATCATCATTCATTTACATGAAGAATTTTGGTCTGTTACTGAAATAACCGGAATGATATCAGAGTTGAATTTGACCATTAAGCTGTAGAGCCAAATCTTACCGCGTATTATATGATAACAAGTTCCCTATTATTGTCTGGCTTTCTTTTGAAAGGGAGTTTCTGTCCATAGTCATTAATTCGATTACCTTATTTATGATTTTATAAAGTAGAATTTCAATAAATTAGGTTAGGGTTTTTGTTTGTTTTGGTTTGTTTTGTGAAAATGATCCCAGCTAAAAAAAATGCCCTGATGTTTCATGTAAACTTAGTTTTCTTAATTGGGTTCATTCAGTTTTCTGTCATGAGAATTTCACAAATGCTAAAAGACTTACATTTTGCTCTATTCCAGTGCCTGATGACCTCTCCATAGAAGAAAGAGAAGAGCTGTTAAATATTCGTCGCAGGAAAAAAGAACTGATTGATGATATTGAGGTAATCGGTTTCTCTGTAAAGGTCCTTAGAAGACTGCTTCAGTAGATTAAGTTACAGTAAACTGCATATCTAGGTATGAATTCCAGAGAATGTTTTTAAAAATGCTAACTTCTGTATTTATGTAATGCGGTATGTGCATATGTACACATTTGGTTTGTGTAATCAGGAACTCATTAAACAGCAGATTTACATGCAGGGTAGGAGTGAGTGAGAAACCTGGGTAACGAAATCTTACACTGAAATTGGTAATGGCAGTTCGGTCTTGATGCTGTGACATGTGCACACACTGGGATTTCAGATCCATGTGTTTAATAGTCATTCAGTTGTGGTAAAATCTTTAAGTTAAATATCTAAAGAAGTCATAAGATTCATCGCTTTTCTTCAGGTGACTTGCTAATATTAGAAAATAAAACCTAGTCGATAGTATTAATATATGATAGACGATTTCAGAAAGTGTTTTAATTTAATGCAGGTTAACATACTGTCCTTCCTTCTTTTGGCAGAGATTAAAATTTGAAATTGCCGAGGTTATGACAGAAATTGATAATCTGACTAGTGTAGAAGAAAGGTAAGTAGTGCTAACATATGGATGTGATTCAGTAAGACCTTGGAACAGGTCTTCCAGGAATAGCAAATAAAAATAACTTTATCATGATAAACAAACATTGGATCACCTTTATTCAATCTGTTATAAAGTCTCTAAAGCCTGACTTTATCCTGGCAGGTGTGTCATTTGTTTCGATACAGAATATGTTTTATAGAACATAATATTTTAGTCTATTCAGTTGATAATGATAAAGTTCTATGAAGCTGCAGTCACTTGAAAGAACTGAAAATAGCAACATAATTTTCCCCCTTAGAAAAAGTGAATGTCTTGGTTTTGTCATAGAAAATACAGAGTAACCAAAATACAAATTAAAAGAAGCACATTTGGAAGTAGTTGTTTTTGTAAAGAGCAACCGATAGCTGCTTGTTGTTTCTTCTTTTTCTCCATGTCTAGCAAAACTACACAAAGAAATAAGCAAATAGCCATGGGAAGGAAGAAATTCAACATGGACCCTAAGAAGGTAGAGAATTTTTTTTTCCACTTGTCAGGAATCAAGTTCCTGTTTGTGATATGATCTATGACAAATACAGTTGTATTTTTCTTAAGAAAACATTTCTGATAATAGAAGTTCGCAGGTCTTCTTTGTATATCCTGTAACACACTGAGCAGAGGATTAAATTAGAAGCAGTCATCAAATCGTATGCCAGTCATGTGCGCTTTTTTCACTTAAGCAAACCTTTTTGATAATGGAGGTTATTTATCAACAGTCAAATATGCCAGGTGTTGATTGAGCTGCCAGGTATTGATTGAGCTGGCTTGCAGAAAGATTATTTGTACCCAGTAGAGGTGTTCTATATTGGTATGTCGAATGTAGTTTTAAAAATATTTAGATGTTTGGTTATTAGTGAGGCCATACTTTTTTGTGTGTGTGTGCCCTCTTGTTTTTGTTTCTTCTGAAATACCTTTAAAAGGTTTTTTAATTTGTTCTCATATAGACTTTTACATTTGCACATCTAAATTTTGTTTGTGAAAAAGGCAAGTATGAACATTCAAATGTTTGTATACATATATATATGTATACTTACATGACTTGTACAAACACTTGCAGATAGAAACTTGGTTACCATTTTAAAGAAGTCTACTGTGCATTTAGCCAAGAAGTAAAGTAGTTCATTTCTCTACAGTGCCTCTACTTTCCTTAAATAATTGATAATTTTCTGGAAAATTCTAGGACCTGTACATGGTTTTACAGACCTCTCCGATGTATTTAAAAGAGCTGCTCTGGCACATTTGACATAAGCCTTTACTTTCTTTTTACATCTTCCTTGCTTTGTTTTACTGCCTTCTGTTGTTTGTAGTCATTTTGAATTTGTGAAGAGCCTTCTTTAAGGTGATTTTGGAAATTGTTTAGCTTTTTTTTTTGTGTCCTGTGTTAGTTCTTGACATGTTTTCTTTCCAAGTGTATTGAATTCAGTTACATTTTGGTGGCTTTTCTATAGTATTTCAAGCATGCTGATGGCTGCTGTTCTTCAGGCTGTTTTCAGTTTACCAGAAACACTCAAGTACTTTGAGATATAGAACCCTTTTTAAGCTACTGACCATGTCTTTTATTTTTATTTTCTGCTTTGGTGACTGTCTAACTTCAGTTCTGTTGAGGGCAGAATACCCCCAAATATCCTGATAGTTTGCTGTTGTCCTCCAGCTCTTTCACGTCCTAGAAGTTTCTGGCAAAGTCACAGGATGATGTCAGATGCTTTCATTCCAATGTTAACTATTTTTTGTTACTTTTCTTGTTTGGTGAAATTATTTCTATAAATAGATGCTGTGGCTGCATTGCTACTGTAACATAATTTAAATGTGGTAAACAGACTTACAGTAGTAATTTCTTAACAATGTCTATGTATCAGTGGTGGCCTGCAGTAGCTGGCTGCTCTAAAGCTAGATCAGCTTGTTGTTTGCAGCTGCTACTTTAAATTACAGGCAGCTAAAATATATGTCCTTCTAATATTGAAAGAATTAACTTGGGGTCATTGTGAAACGGGTGTTTTTCATTCATTAATGGGAGGGAACATGGTGTCCAGAGTTAGAAATGTGAAAGAACTGGGGTAATAATACATATGTTGGATCCCCCAGGTTTTCTTCTTTAAAACCAAATAACAAGAGTTATAATGTTTTCATATTAGCAGGAACACAGTGAGGTAATTTACCATTTTTATTTGAAGACCTTTACATTTTCTAGTGTGTAACCTATATGTAGAGCAATTCTTCCTGCACCCACTCAGCAAATGCTCATTCAAAATAGCTGTCTTTAACACAGTTATGTGATGTAATATCGTGTATCTTGCTGTTTGGACTTGGTTAGCTAGTGTGGGAAGGGCTGTAATAGTAATTTTGTAGAACATTTAAAGAATCCCTGTACAGAGACGTAAAGCTATGCTTCAAATCTGGAGCACTCAAGTCAGTACTGCCGGCATTTGGCCCAGAAAATGCATTCTCTACAACAAAGGCAGAATTTAAATAACTGCAAAATTTGTAATTAAGTTACTGTAAAAAGCTGTGACATTCAAAGCAGATTTCATTGCACAAACTTAAAAAAATCTATGCAATATTTGTAGTGAATATCGAATATCAAAATTCACTACTGTAGCCGTGAATTTTGTGTGGGGAGGTCAAACTAGTACAGCTGTCTTCTGTCTCATGTCAGTCTACAGAAAGAAAACTTACATCAAGACAAAAAATAGCGTAGGAGTTGATGGGGATTTGGCTGACCTATATTACCGTTTGTTCCAGACGCTGGAGTTGTTGTCCCAGACATATTCCTTTTCCTGTCTATTTGACTTCTGGTTGTTTAACGTCTTAAGAATAATAAAAAAACCCCACAAAACAAAAAACCCACAAATAAAAAACAGGAAAAAAAATCCAGAAAAAGGAAAATTAAATTGATTTTTATAGTATGTTAAAGTATCTGCCTCTGTGCACAGAAATTTGTTTTCCATGCTTCTAGTCATGTCCATTATCTTATTCAGTAACTTGTACAACTTTTTAAAAACTACTCTGATCAGTCTGTTTATGCTAAACATGAATAATATGGTCCAGGGTTGAACAATCAGCAACTGCTATTTCCGATGTCCGATAGAAGGAAGGTTATCTGTTGGTTGACAGAGCTGAGAAAGCTTTTTGAATAACTTGGTATGGGAAAAAAACATTATGTTTCATAGTCAAATGAATTTTTTGTACAAACAGTTATCAAATAAGCTTTGAAGGGATCATCTTTGGGGAAAGCTCAGCTATTTGTGCTTCAAGATAAAATGGATATATTCTTTGCGACAAAATCATGTCTGTTCTGAATTGGCTTATAAAAATATTAAGTTGTCAGAGTCAGAATACCAGCCTGTCATTGAAATTAAGTTTTCAGATGATGATAAAATTACTTTGAGAGAATTGCATTCCAGACTTTTTTTTAAAAAAAAAAAAGCTTCAAGCTTTAACATCACAATTATTTTCTTTGTTAAATTAGGTCAGAAAATTGATTTCTTTTGTCAGGCAGGTAATAATTTCATTATGAAAACCCAGAATCAACCAAACAGAAGGATAATTACTTTTTTGAATGTTACTACAGGGCCTTCTATGCTATATATTTTTTTAAAAAAAGGGAAGTTTTCCCAGTTGTAATAAAATAAAAAAGAAATACATTCCACTTGCAGAAACTGAAAAACTAATATTTCTGAAATAATGAAATATTCTAGTAGGAAAGATTTGGAATAATTTATTAATCTCTTCTGTACATATTTGGAATCCAAGACATTAACATTACTTAGTTGCCATTCCTACTT